GTAGAAGAAAAACGGACCAATTATTCTGGCATCTAAAATTACGCACCACACATTAACTTTTTGTAAACATTGGCTTTTGCAGTTAGTAACCCAATGCGGATTTTCTGTAGACCAGTATATGCAGTTTTGAGAATATATCCCATTTTTAGTGAACGTAGCCTCATCCGTAAACATTATTTTTTATAGAAAAGTTCTATATTTTAAAAAATTTCCTTGGGCCCACAACCAATATTCTAAGCGTTTCAAGTCATCACCTACTCTCAACGTGTGCAGAAATTTTGGTTTGAACGGCTTTATTTTATGACGAGCCACGCATCTTCTAATTTTGTTTTTATTTACATTTAATTCAACAGCCCTCAGACGTAAACTCATTTGAGGATTGGCACGAACTGAAGCTATAATGGAATCATCATTATGTGTTCGATTCTGAAGTTGCGCGTGAAGCGGACTATTCAACACACTTCCAGTTTTAGTGAAACGCAAATTTACCCCTGCTGCAGTTATATGTCTAATAGGATTTCTCTGTGGATGTTTCATATTGAACTCTTCCGCAACTTGTCTGCTACTACTGAGATGTTCAATAGGCATTTTGTCAGCGTACTGACGCAATTGACTGTCAAATTGACAATTATTAGATGCGGCTAATTTGTCTCCATGGCTCTCTAGTAAATGTTGATACATAAATTCGGACTTTGCGTAAAAATTTAAAAGAATGCCAAAATTTGACTTTTGAGTTGAAACTCGGTATTGACCGTTCAAATAGACAATTTTCAAGTAACTTTTTCCGACATCTCTAAAGCATTGCAAAATATAGCGAATTGCCCCTATTCGCAAAGTCGTAGTAGGCTAGGTTTTTATCTGAAGGTAGAAATGAGTACCCCTAACAATTAAGCTCATAACATTCTACCTCTGTACCGAAACTGAAAACCTTGCTTAAAAAAATAACTAAAATACAAGGGTGTTTTCATCTTAAGTGCGACACACTGTATGTATGTACGGTAGACGTACAATGAGACGTACAATATATGTCACTGGATGTACGTATCATACTGTCCGTACCATGTACGTACAGTATGAATATGTGTATGTACGTACGTACCAGAGACGCGTTTTTCATTGGACATTTTATGTACTATGTGCGTAAGATGCCCTAATTGGTACGGGCACGTTATCTAAATTTCGTACAGGATGTAGGATTATACTGTTAGGATTATATACCGGGTGACAATAAAAAAATGACAACCAAATTGTATCGAATGAAACTGGAATATTTATTGGGTTTAAAAGTGCTATGGTAAAAAGCGCTTCGCCAAAACCATCAAGAGCCGGGACTTCGTCTCAGAATGTGTCAGGCGAAATTCCAGGGTCTCTATGAGAAAAATCGCGGGCGAGACTGGTCTCATACGGCAATCAGTCGGTCAAGTAGCTCCATACGATCTCCATGTCAAGCGCTACAACCTCCAAGAAGTTCAGCTCGTCACCGACGACAACAAGCGCGTACGGCTTACGGCTTGAACGATGCAAACGACTCCTGCTTTGCCACGCTCTCTTCAGTGGGAGAAAATCCTTCTCACGGAGTAAAAACTGTTCACTCTTGAACAAGTCACAGTCATCAGAACAATAGCAGCTGGTCCGCCCCCTGCCCCGGCACATCGGCCATCGTCGAACATAGCCAAAATTCGCCAGGGGCAACACCCTCTCGTTTTTTGTGGAACAGGGGGCCAAAACCAAAAAGGAAGTCTACTACGGTGACATCCTTGAAGCCGTCATACTTCCGTTGGCCCGGCAGCAATTTGGCGATGTGCATTGGACGTTCCAACAGGACTCCGTTCTGACCCACAAGTTGATATCGACTCAGGACTGGCGTCAGTGGTTCTGGATCTATTTTCCATTCATCTTGTCGGATTTCATCTCGTCGGTGGATTTAACCACCCTACTCGCCAGATCTGAATCCGATGAACTACAGTGTGTAGTCTATTTTAGAGACCAGGTCCGGTGCTACACGCCACAAAACTTTGGAGCCGCTGACGCGGTCGCTACGTCAGAAATTGCCGGAACCGATTATCGCCGGAAGAGATGCATGGCGCGGCAGAATATTTTCGGCAGCGTTTGCTGCTCTGTCGAGACGCGCAAGGATGCCACTTCGAAACCGGCTGAGTATGTTGTAGTCAAAACAGTTGTCTATTGTTTTTTATACATTTTGTTTTTATTGAAAATTAAACATTTTATTAAGTTTTGGCTAGAGCTTTATCTTCACCCTGTAATACTTTATATTTGTATATAAATAGCATCTACTGGTTATTTGGATCCCATAAACAAGCTAGTTTTAAATTATTTCCTGGTTGAATGCATACAGTTCCTGTTTCTGTAAAACAAAGTACATCGATGTTTTGTCGTTTTTCCCAGACCCATAACGCAAAGCTTGATTAGGTCCAAACGACATTTTATTTTGGCAAAAGAACAGCTCTCAGAGTGCACGAATAAACAAAATATGGTTTCCGACAAGCTGAGCGCCACTGGAAAACAAAAGAGGTCAAACTACAATAAATCATACAGGCACCGACATACAAAATAGAATGCTACATTTTTACTCTCACAATGAAGTCGGTAAGGACCGGGATTTTCATTATTTTTGTCCGAAATATATGCAACTTGTTTGTTATTTAAAAAAATATATAACGTTTCTAAATTAACTCTAAACTCTAACTCTTCTAAAAAAACTCTTAAAAGGGTCGGGGGGGAATATAACGAAGTGACGGTCTTATTGTTTTGGAGCCATATTATTCTCGTTAACCGGTTATTCACGAATTTCGGCCTATATTTTTATAATGTTTAATCAATGTGGAGAAGCATGTTTTGTTTATGCTAAATGTTTTGAAATATGAGAGCTCGCTCGTTCAAGTTTTATTCAAAGCTTGATCAGTCGATTGATGAGCTGGAGCTTTCTTTTGTCAATTAATAAATATATACTATGAAGCCGACTGAAATTTGTTTTTCCAACTAGAAATGTTTTAAGCCATAGGTTACGACGCGGGAAATAATAGTGCGCAATAAGTTAATAATAAGTTCCTTTGGAACTTAGAATTGGGGCTATTAGTTCACCAATTTCATTTTTTGAGACTATTATCCTTATTATCCACTTTAATTTCGTGCGGAATTTTCAATAAATTTAATTTATTTCTAAGTATACTAAAATTCACTTTATCGTATTCGCTTTTGATGTTCAAGGATATTGCTATTGAGGATTCGTTATTGTTAAAGGCCAGTAAAATGTCTGATGTAAACATGGCTAAATCGTCTGGAATGAATGAGTATTGGCTTTCTTTGAATCAATGAGTATTGGCTTTTTCTGAAGCTTGTTTGGAACCATGAAAAACTTTTTTTATTCCCTAGTTTCAATTCAATTTGAATTCTGTTTTTTAGCATTGGTTCCCATACTTTTATCAGGCAAGAAGACAGAACTATAGATCTGTGGTTTTTTACAAGGTTGAGCTCTTTATTAAGTTTGGGAATACATATAACATTATATTTTTTTCATTCTTCCGGGAGGTCGTACCCTTTAGTTAATACATAATTATATAAATTTAGCATGATATGCTTTAGCTTCTCTGGCAGTTTTTTTTATCATTTCATAATTTATCTCGTCAATATCTGATGCTGAATTTCTTTTATTTTGCTAGCTAAGTTTAAGTTGACTAACGCTAAAAGATTGTGGTTGAACAGTCTGTTCCTGCATGTCGAGTGGTAACAAGTCAATGTCTTCTGATTCTATTTTTTTTATGACACCCAGTATTAACTGATTAGAAGTTGGGATCAGTCTTGTAGAGGTGTTCGCGCCTGAAAAAGCATTGACTTTGTTAGAAATTTGCATTACTATTGAGTTTCTATTTAGATAGTTACAATATTCGATAAAAGACTTTATCTTCTGTTGTTTGAAGAATCTGTTAGATTGTGTTATGTCGTGTTTGGCTTGTATGTAGTTTTTCGGTTTTGCAGCAACTTTTGCAAGCAGTTTTGCTGTTCTTATAAATTTATCGATTCTATTGTTAATAATTTTTTTTATTGTTTTGTCAGCGTTGCAGTAGTTTCTAACCTTATGAGAAGGATAAAAAGGATATTTTTATTGTTTTTTAAATTAATGCTAAATATGGTCGGATAGTGGTCACTGTTGAAAACAAGTGAACAGGGGAATTACAGACTGCTAGATTCAATGGATTAGACGTGCTTTTATTAAATGTAGTCGGCTTACTCTAACTCAACAAAGATGGAACTTAAGAGTCTAAAAATGCTCTTAATATTATACCATTAATGGTATAATAACCATTATCATAACCATAATGATTATTATTTGAGCTTATTATTATTATTATTATTTCCAGGATTGACATAATGCATTTAATTCTCCCATAGGAATGAAATTACCTTCCAATCCTGCAAATATTTTCTCTAATTTTTCTTTTTCAAAGTGAGTGGCACGGAGAGATTAAACGTTTATCATGTTCAAGTTATTAATTTTGATTACTAAATATTGAATTTATTTTATAATCAGATTAATTGTATTTTTCACAATTGAGAAGTTATTATTGTTTTTGACACATGTTGCGATGCCTGCGTATCCGTCTCCTCTATCCTGGCATATTATTCTATAAGATTTGAGACTGAAGTTAATATTTTGTTTTAATCATGTTTCGTAATATTACGTCAGGTTTCTCTTTATTTATGAATGAAACTAAGTCTCCCCTGTTGACCGAAACACTTCTTTTCTTCCATTGGAGTATCTTAATTTTTGCTGGCTGTTCTGCATTGAATTATAATATGAGTCTGGACCATCTAAGTTCATGGCTGGAGGCGGCAACTGGTTTTACAGTAATATTACAAGTACAGATTGTTCTTTTGCTGGTAAATTAGAAAAAAAGGTAAAAGGTTAAAATTGTCAGATGCAGTCCATGCAAAACGATTAATGTCTGAAAATAGTTAAAGAGATATATGTATTGTTTCAGAAAGTATATAATGTACTCGGGGAAACGCTTGCCAAAATGAAACGAGACGAAGAAGCTGAAAAGTGGTATCGAGCAGCACTAGACGCTGAACCAGACCATGTGCCAGCACACATAACTTACGGGAAACTTTTAGCGAAAAATGTGAGTCCTTAAGTATTAGGCTACGTATAAACATCAATAGAAGTGAGACAAATGTTTATGGTATTTTTTTGTTTACTTGGTTATCATTTGCCAGCTAACACCTACACATTAACTGAGGAGAAAATCTGAATCAGAGCAGATAAGGCTCTTTTACAATTTAAGCAATTTACCGTTTTCAAATGCTTTAACCTTTAGAGACACCTAAACCTTCCGGTATTATACCTAATGGGTTTTCCCACTCTAGTTTGCATAACGTAAAGACCTAATTACAAAAATGAAAGAAGCCCTAATGCCAACAAACAACAAAAATCCCCATTTTAGAACGTGGCTCATGCGGCATCATGCTGCCCTGGATCTTCATGAATATTCATATCAGAAAATGAGGAAGGGTATAACAAGGCAAATGTTTTTGCAAATTTAACGCAAATCTATGAGGTAATTCCCATTACTTAAGTGTTAATTTATTGGGACGCTGGTGGATGCATATATAATTGATATAAAATTTTGCAAAAACACAGTTTTTTAAAAAAAAATTTTAGAAACTACATTTGCAACATTGACCCTGCTAAAAGATCTTTCTCAATAATGTTTCGGTCCTTTTGTGGTAGGCCACAAATGATGCGCCATTTTCATATTTTCTAATCCTGCAAGTTGCCCAAATATTTTCTGGCTGACATGAAATATTACAGGAGAAATTCTGAAATTCTCGGTCGTTTTATTTTCGCTTTATGTTTGAAGGCTTATATCTTTGGCGATATATTACCCAAATATAAATGCATTAATCAAGAATATAATAGAGAAAAATACACAGTGATTAATGGTCACATAACAGTGGCATCAAATTAATAACGAATTTCGAACAAAACGAATTGTAGGGACAACACCAAAAAAACATGTAGAATAGTCAAAATACACAGTTCAGAGTCACTCAGTCTTCTGTTGCAATTGTTTAAAGGTAAGCGCTGTCTTTGGTATTGTTCGATAAATATTTGCTGGCAACTGCAAATTCAAGCAATTATCTGATTACATAATGGATCAATAATCGAATATGTAAAAATGTTTTGCTAAAAAACGATAAATAAATAATATTGTTTTGAATATATCATCACTGCTATGCTAGTAATAATATTCAGTTGTAATGGCGGAGTATTAAATTGTTAATTTAGAGCTAATTTAAAACACATAAAGTAGCCTCGTCAAAAACACATGAACTAGGTTTTATTCAATTATGCAAAATAATGCACTGATAGAACCCAAATTGGAAACAGGTTATATCCAAATCGCTTGTAATAGTTTTTATTACAGTTTACGTATTTAATACAAGGGGAATAAAGCAGAATTTATGTGGATTCAATTTTGTACCCATCTCGTTTTATTTTGTTATATGCTAATAATTTGGGATAAAAATAATTAACTCTAAAATCATATAAATACTTATTGGTGCACCTACATTTATTAAATTACCGTTAATATTGTTCTGCTTAATGAATTCTTTATATATATTTCGACGCTGAATAAATAAATGCTAATGAACTTAAATAACTCAACTTCAGGTTGTTTGTATTTTTGTATAACCAATTTTATTGAAATTTCAGTTTCTATTTGAATTGTTCCTGAAAATGTAAAGTGCTTTACGCAATTAGTCTATCAAATCAAAATGACAGTTTCAAACGGATCGACGTTATCCTAAAAGTGATGTGAATTTCGCAACAATGTAATGATATGAATACTCGAATGTCTCAATGTCAGAGTGTCGTGACATAAGTGTCACATATCAAAATGTTTGTGATCGTGACACTGCCGATGTCTTGGTGACATTTTAACATTTCTTCAAGGTTTCATTTGAGTTGGTTTTAAATTATGTTGCCTTTTGAATTGATTACATTTTCGGAATATTACCAATAATACCCATGTCTAAGGATTAAATCAATTGCCGAGTATAAGGCGAGACAAAAACGTCCCCTTATTAGAGTTTCTGGTGCCACCAAGTTTGTTTCTACGCAAAATCCACTGTCTCATCCACACTCGTTTTTTTGCCTAAATTTCAGAATAGTTAATTCTTCTTCTCAATGTGTTGGATGTACTGAACACCTAGTGCCGTGACATCGAATGTCCAAAGCTGTGACGGAATTTGATGTCACGTACATATATGACCGAGCCTTTAGTGTAGATCTGTAATCATTGTTGGTTAGTTTAAAGCTAACGAGTGTATCAACTATTGTGACTGTGTAGCCTCTCTGAAAATGTTTTTTAATTCATAATATTCTCTCTAGAGCACACTTGTAACAAAAATTTGTTTTTGCAAAATACTAGTTTTTTAAATAAGGGACTTTCTGATTTACTGAGTATATTAAACCTAACACGTCGAGTGCAATGTCTGAATCCCAATATCCTAAAATAAAAAATCCTGCGTATATTCAAAACTATGATCATGAATGTTTGCGAATATGTATTAGTTTCATACTATTTGGTGATTTAATTTCGATGGATTTATCAAACACCTAATTATACAGGGTGATTTAAAAGTGGCGTAATTCGTTTTAAGGGGTAATAAGGGCTCACTTGGAGAGTACGAGAAAAATATTGAAAAAATTGTTTCGATAATTTCTAGAAGATATTAATTGGAAATCGAATTTCAGATTTCTTAATAAGCATTATTTTGAAATTGTTCCATGTTTAATGGGTAGCATATTGGAATTATTCAGCATTCAAAAACAATTACGATCTTTACTTCAAATAGCGAAAATTTTCGATGTTTAACAAAGTATCTTCCACAATTTTTTGATAAAAAGCTTAAGCGGCAATGACGTTTTTTGTCATCGAAAGATAGTACAGGGGGACAGCGTTTGCCAATAATAACAATAATTTGTTAAACTGTAACATACTTTGAAGCTTCTTTTACGAATTTGCGGAAATGCGATTAGTTCTGAGGAAATGCCACAGTAACATAGCAGAAGTTGTAAGAACTAAATCCAATAAAGGGCTGAATATACGGAAGATTGGCCCGAACAAGTAATGGACATAATTGCAGCAGAGCTTTCCAGGGGCAATCACAGCATAGCAAAACAACTGACACTTTCCCGGGCACTAAATAAAGACCGTGGAGGGGATACATTCCTACCATGTTTGTACGAGAAATAGAGCACAAAGACACTGTTAAATCAATCGCTTACTGAACACCGGTACAAATTGAGCTGGAGTTAATTAACCGAAAACGCGAAGCTGCTCGAGAAGAGTGCACAATGAGGTTATTACAAAGGCACTAACTGTGATAATGTTAATAACTTTTATCTTTGACCATACGGACATTTCGAAAAAGTTTGTTCCTCTTTTAACGAGTCCTGTTGAATTTATAGTTAATTCTATCCTATTCTATTGCCACTTTCTGGATTTTTTATGGCCTTTGGAGTTTTTAATAGTTGCGTAGCAACAGATGTTTACGTAATGTTAATTAGGCAAATTACCTTGAAAAATATTGCTGCCATCCTTCTGACCTAGTTTTATGCAAATATCTCAGTTCATAATAACTGTGCTGTTCATAATAACTCTCAAAATTCCCTCAGACAACACCTCCAGGGGAGTAACGTCAATTTTATTATAGGACGATATACAATATATTAGGACTATAATTGACTTTTCGAATAAATACGTTTCGTCATTCAACGCTTCCTGTTGAATTTACCGTTTACCTGTACTTGCCTATTTTATTGTCACTTTTTGTATGGTTCCATGTTTACCGGAGTTTTTAATAATTACAGAACAACAGGTATTTACGTAATATAGATTAGGCAGATTACCTTGAAAAATATTGTAGCCGTCTTTCTACTATAGTTTTTTTGAAGTTTTTTTAGCGTTACTGTCTGAATCTACACTGAAGGGTTGATGAGTTCATTTGGGTGCCGCTTTGATTGCAATGAAAAGAGAAGGATAGCAATTTCATTAAAAGGCCCACCATATTTTTTGAGTCCATTAAAGAAATAAACAGAGCGGCCAGAGCTAAGACCTATAACGAAAGAAAATTATTCAGTTAAACAGCATCTATTCTATTAAACCGAATTGTAATTGAACCGCTTTGGCTAGTTCAACGCCTTATTTGTACAAATTAAATAAATTCGACACAAAACAAGAACTGTCTATTGCAATTCATAAACAGATAAGATAAGGTGAAAACATGTTCAAAGCCATATTTAATTTTTTGAATTTATTTTAGGTGAGCAGATCGGCGGAAGCAGAACAGTGGTTCCGCAGAGCTCAACGTTTGGCTCCAAAAGACGCCAGTGTTTATCATCATTATGGTAAATTTTTGTGATTATTTTTTTTGGGTACATATTTCTAGCACTAATGCATTCTAAAATGTTCAGAAGCATATGTGGTTGAAACTTTTTTTTTTTCCGGTGAGCTTTAGGAAATGCTCTTTTATGCACTCCCAGAGCTGGTGGTCTGTCGCTCTGGTTTGTGTGGGACTCCAGCTAAGCTGTTTACCCACTAAAACCCTTTCCTCACCGCCGAGGTGGTGTTTGGCCTTGCACCGCGGTCATTTCTGTCCTATTGTGCCCTATGGGTGAAACTTATTATCAACTCTAGAATTTGGTCTGGAAATCGATTTCTTGATCCGGCTCCCGTCCCATCATTCAAGCTTATCAACAGTGTATTATTTTAATTCTTTAAATATTGATTGCACCATTCAACTTGCGGCTACCATAGGAAAGTGTAGATTTTCGATTACGATCTATTTATTGACTACTGACATGTATCCATAATTGTTGTATACTAAATCAATAATTGATGATTTTGTCCGGCCGTCAGGATTTTTTTTTCCACATAGTTTGACTATATTAGCATCATTATAAATTCTTGAAATAATTCAGGGAAAAAATTACTATTAACATTGCTGACGAATTGCCAGACTGCTGTTTGTCGATTCGTAGAAATAAGAGTTACTTTCTTCTTTCATTTTGCTTCTCGTACGGTAATATATAAATCTTCACTAGTCACTGAAATAATTCACAGCTGTCAATTTAATTATTAAAATGATAAATCCACATTTCCAACTGTACCGTTCTTATGCGTGCTAGCTTCGCGTGTTCAACTCAATGAAATAATTTAAACATGAACAAGGGAGTTGATTACATGATGATTATAAGTTGATTATCGTATTAGGCACCATTAATTAAGTTTGCTAAGTCTGCCAACGTACTAAATTAAGAGCTGGTCTTTATAAATGGGTCACTGAATATTTGGTGATAATTTCAATGGGACATAAATATTTTATGGCTGGATTTAACATCGCCCATTAACTTTTAAATTTCGTGATTTTCTTAATTAGTAGGATTATGACCCGAAATATGCTGATAGCAGTATTGGATACTATCATATGGAATCATACTTATTTATTGCTAGGTATCTAATAGTGGCCAACTAGAAAGTTTAAAAAATATTTTGCCTACGGTTTTAATGTAATTTAATGTAATTAAATGTAATTATTGCATCTCCATAATGGCTAATTTGCTATTGAAGTATTTTGATTATTTAGTGAAATTAAAAAATTATGAATCCGTTACAACTTCAAGACAAATAAGCACCCCCGTATACATATAGCTGTCGATGTGAGTAGACGTGTTCTAGTCGCGGTGATAGTGGTGTTTACAGTTAGAGGCATAAATCGATTAAATACCATTCCATACGAGGTGGTATTGCGGTCAAGGCCGTCAAGCAATCGTGTGACAAATATCAACAAGACGATATAAAGGTCAGGA